TCAAGGATAAAGTTGTGGAGAAGTTGAAAGCAGGGTTAGGTTATAAAAAAATATCTCAAGCTTTGATCCATCATCCGAAAATGGAAAGAGTATGGTGCAACTGCAAACCTACCAAAACATGACCGTCCACCTAAACTGACTGGCTGGGCAAGGAGAGCATTAACCCCTTCTCTCTTATGGGTAAAACAAATCTTAACGCTTAAGCAAAATCTTGCAACTTTGACATATGTTAGTAAAACTGTACATTTCATCACAACTACTTTGTACATCCAGGTGGATTATACCTTGTTTTTTTTTCAGGAAAAATTGGGCTTTCATTTGGTGGTAAATGGTAATGGATAGCTCCTGTTTTTTTTTTTCATTATCAAAAGAAAACGAGCCCAAAATAGTAAAAAAAAAATATTTTTCTTTCAATTTAGCTGTGTTTCTTGTTATTACCATAAACTACCACCAAAGAACAACCCAAAATACATTTTCCAGTTCTTGATGATCGCAGTACTACCATATATGTATGTTATTTGTTGTTTGTACCCACAGTACAGCCCAGAAAAAATAGTGTGCAGTTTGTTTTGTTTTTTACCTAAAGCACACTGACACTGATACCAATTTAAAAAACAAAATCTTGACCATTGACCCTGACCTTGACCCAAACACTAACCCTGACACTGAACTAGATCAAACCTTGATCTAGGTATTTTTTCTTTATATTTTATTTTATTTTTTAATATTTATTTGTTGTTTTTTAACAGTTTTTTTTTTTTTTCATAGTGAAAAAAAAACAAGGGGGGCGGGCTGTACAGTGACTGATCACTGTGATAGCCAATCAGAGGCTCTCACAGCGATCATGTGACCCAGTATTGGGAGTCCCGGATCCCGATCGTTAGAACGGGACCTGGGGCTCTCTGTGGCACCCCGGTCTTTGTGCTGGGAGTGCGCTGTAAGGTGCGCTTTCAGCACAAAGACAGGTACACAATATGCGGCCCCATGGAAAGAAGCCCAGTTCTGTGAGGCCGCATATTTGTGTTATGACAGCGTGAAGTGGTTAATCAGAGAAGCAGCCAAGAGGCCCAGGGTAACTCTGGAGGAGCTGCAGAGATCCACAGCTCAGGTGGGAGACTCTGTCCACAGTACAACTAGTTGTTGTGAACTCCACAAATCTGGCCTTTATGGAAGAATGGCAAGAAGAAAGCCATTGTTGAAAGAAAGCCATAAGAAGTCCTGTTTGCAGTTTGCGAGAAGCCATGTGGTGGACACAGCAAACATGTAGAGGAAAGTGCTCTGGCCAAATGAGACCAAAATTGAACTTTTTGGCCTGAAAGCAAAATGCTATGTATGGCGGAAAGCTAACCCTGCATATCACCCTGAACATGCCATCCCCACCGTGAAACATGGTGGTGACAGCATCATTTTGTGGGGATGCTTTATTTCAGCAGGGAAAGGGAAGCTGGTCAGAGTTAATGGAAAGATGGGCGAGCCAAATACAGCGCAGTCTTAGAAGAAAACCTGTTAAATTTTGCAAAAGACAACAGGACAACAACCCTAAACATACAGCCAGAGCTACAATGGAATGGTTTAGATCAAAGCATATTCATACATTCACTCTCTAAATGTGCAAAGCTGGTAGAGACATCCCCAAAAAGACTTGCAGCTGTAATTGCAGCGAAAGGTGGTTCTACAAAGTATTGACTCAGGGGGGCTGAATACAAATGCACGCCACACTTTTCAGATGTTTATTTGTAAAAAAAATTGAAAGCCCATTTATTATTTTCCTTCCACTTCTTAATTATGCGCCACTTTGTGTTGGTCTATCACATAAAATACATTTATGTTTTTGGTTGTAACATGACAAAATGTGGAAAATTTCAAGGAGTATGAACTTTTTTCAAGGCACTGCAGGTCTCCTTCATACAGGTGTACAGTACCGTACGCCCATGCAGGGCCATGTTTACCTCCATGGAGATGTTCTGTGCATCCTCATGCAGGCAGTCTCATCGATGTCTATTGGGACACAGAGGCTGAACAAACACAGCTATGTGACCTAAAGAAAGGTGCCAGATCACCTTTTATAGGAATTTTGTTCCTATAAAAAGTTTGCTGTTAAAATTGGATGCTATAAACAGAACATAGTGCATACTACTTTTAAAATAATAGCATTTTGTCTGTGTGTAGACAGTCATACATTTAGCTGTACCCTTACAACTACTATCCTTGCAGGTTGTCCCAGCCTGTCATCCAGTATTTCTCTTGTCATACCTTTTGACTTCAAAGTGGATAACTGTTAAATGCTCTGTGGAGCACTAATCCTAACTGCTGCTTATAATTTTGAGGAATATCTGTTGGGGGAGGATGAGAGTAAGTATCATGTTTTATGTTCTTGTGGATCGTGCTCTCTAACACCCTAACAGTACAGAGATAAGGGTAGCACAATGGACCACAGTTCACATTTACACTCCAAGAATAAAAATGTAATGCGTATATTTCATTACTGCTTATCTTGTAAAGAGCTGCCATCTAATGTACAGTGAGGAACAGAAGTATTTGAACACCCTGCGATTTTGAAAGTTCTCCCACTTAGAAATCATGGAGGGGTCTGAAATTCACATTGTAGAAGCATTCCCACTCTGAGAGACAGAATTTAAAAAAAAAATTCAGGAAATCACATTGTATGATTTTTAAAGAATTTATTTGTCTTGCACTGCTGAACATAAGTATTTGAACACCTAAGAAACAGCAAGAATTCTGGCTCTCAAAGACCTGTTACTGTGCCTTTAAAAAGTCAGCCTCTATTCCACTCATTAATCTAACTTAGTAGCACCTGTCTGAGCTCTTTAAAGACACCTGTCCACCCCACAGTCAGTCAGACGCCAACTACTGCCATGGGCAAGACTAAAGAGCTGTCAAAAGACACCAGAGACAAAATTGTGGACCTCCACAAGGCTGGAAAGGGCTATGGGGCAATTGCCAAGCAGCTTGGTGAAAATAGATCAACTGTTGGAGCAATTGTTAGAAATGGAAGAGGCAAAACACGACACGACTGTCAGTCTCCCTCGGACTGGGGCTCCATGCAAGATCTCACCTCGTGGGGTATCACTGATAAGAAAGGTGAGGAATCAGCCCAGAACTACAAGGGAGGAGCTGGTCAATGACCTGAAGAGAGCTGGGAACACAGTTTCAAAGGTCATTGTCGGTAGAACACTACGCCGTCATGGTTTCAAGTCATGCATTGCACGGAAGGTTCCCCTGCTCAAGTCATCACATGTCCAGGCCTGTCTGAAGTTTGCCAATGACCATCTGGATGATCCAGAGGAGGCATGGGAGAAAGTCATGTGGTCAGATGAGACCAAAGTAGAACTTTTTGGTCTAAACTTTACTCGTCGTGTTTGGAGGAAAAAGATGGATGAGTTGCATCCCAAGAACACCATCCCTACTGTGAAGCATGGGGGTGGTAACATCATGCTTTGGGGGTGCTTTTCTGCGAAGGGGACAGGACGACTGCACTGTATTAAGGAGAGGATGAATGGGGCCATTTATTTTGAGATTTTGAGCAACAACCTCCTTCCCTCAGTCAGAGCATTGAAGATGGGTTGTGGCTGGGTCTTCCAACATGACAACGACCTGAAGCACACAGCCAGGATAACCAAGGAGTGGCTCCGGAAGAAGCATATCAAGGTTCTGGAGTGGCCTAGCCAGTCTCCAGACCTAAATCCAATAGAACATATTTGGAGGGAGCTGAAACTCCGTGTTGCTCAGAGACAGCGCCGAAACCTGGCAGATCTAGAGGAGATCTGTGTGGAGGAGTGGGCCAAAATCCCTGTTGCAGTGTGTGCAAACCTGGTCAAGAACTACAGGAAACGTTTGACTTCTGTAATTGCAAACAAAGGCTTCTGTACCAAATATTAACACTGATTTTCTCAGGTGTTCAAATACTTATGTTCAGCAGTGCAACACAAATAAATTCTTTAAAAATCATACAATGTGATTTCCTGATTTTTTTTTTTTTTAATTCTGTCTCTCAGAGTGGGAATGCACATACAATTTGAATGTCAGACCCCTCCATGATTTCTAAGTGGGATAACTTGCAAAATCGCAGGGTGTTCAAATACTTCTGTTCCTCACTGTATGTGGGCCTATCAAGCTGCACAGAACCAAGCTTTGCTTCAGATTTCCTCACTCATTAATCTAAAGCTCATCTGAATAAAGCATGGAGGCTACCAATAGTGATCTCTTTCTGAAAATGCTAGTTGCTTAATGGCTCCTTTTTAATACTTTAGGTAGGTATTCCAGAACAAATACTGTAAATTAGCTAGGAAAGTCAGATTACAGTCGGATGTCTTGTCTTTTGCATGCTAATTCCAGGTCAGCAATTCAGATTATTGAAGCAGAGAGTCAGCAATGTCAGCCTCCTCTCTAGAAATGTACCCTTTAAAGCTAACCTGTCAGTCGCTTTCCATTCTGTAACGCCTTCATCACTAAAGGACTCAGCAGTGACATAGGGGTTGAAAGATGGACATAGCTGACACTTGAAAGTCAGGAAATATAAAGGCCTCTTTGGCGTTTTATTAAAGCTATTGTAAGACACAGACTGCTAGAAAAAGAAGTATACTAGTTCTTCTCTTTCAGAGAACTCTCATGTCAATATTTATACTGAAAGGGTCGATTTACCTGATTTTTACATCCCACTTATATTTTCATGTTTTTCTCTTCTCAGTATTTCTGTTTCCCTCTTCAGTTGTTGCCTCTGTCCTTGTATCTACCCTCTTCTTACTTCTATAAAGTAACCATGTCTATTCATGAATATTTTGTATTTATTCTTTTGAGAATAGCAGATGTTCTGAGATCAGCTTTGATTATGTAACATGCAGTTAAACAGGTTCTTCCATGTTTGCTTATGATCTTTTAAGTATAGACTTGTATAGAATATAAAAAAACATTAAACATTATTTATGGTAAGTGTAGAATTTATTCCATAGAATAAATCATTATGTATGTTTTATTATGCAGGATATTGGAATATATGTGAACAAACAGTGGTTCTCCAAGGAGCACTGCTTCTAGCAGAGAAACTTGCCGTACACAGAACATTGCTGGAGTTTAAGAAGCCTGACTGGCCTCTCATTGAAAAGCCAATAACTGATGCTCTAAAGGAGATCAGCTCAGGTACCTGGTCACAAAGCCACGAATGGAGGAAAAGAGCCATCGCTATATTCTGGGCCAAAATTATTTCATGCCGGTCACAGCTGGCCCTGGATGCCGAACTGGACATCGAGAGGAAATGGAAAGAGGATGTTTTTTTTCCAGTGGGAAACATGATGCCAAAAATAAATCATACAGTTCTGTATGAACTGCTGAAAGCTTCAAAGGCAGCAGATATATTTGCAGAACTGCTGTTGGCACTGCCAGCAAATTTTTGGGTGAATGAAGTATCCTTGTTGCTAGACCATCTTTGTGATGAAATATCTATAGAAGATGTGACTTTCTTTTTGGATGTGTGGTGGGAACTAATGAAAGGCTATAAGCACAGACAGGATGAGACTGTTAAGATATTTTCAGCTGTTGCATGTCAATACTTGTCTAAAACAAACGATGACCTTTTGCCGAGCTCAAAAAGATTTAAACCTGACCCTGAGCAAGTTTTACCTCCAAATAATAGTATTCTTTCAGCAATTCTGGATAGGCTTCATAAAATTAGACCGTACATCGCTAATGTCAAGCTGAAGTGCTGCACAATTGCTAACTTAGCAGACATGTTATGCTCTTCTGCATTTCTGGAGAAAGAGTCAGGGCATCTTCCCGTAAGGGAGTACTTAGAGAAACTGGTTGCTGTCCTTTGTTTTTGTAATACGGGAGCCAAAAACCTTCATCCCCAAAGCTACCTCCCAGAAATGATAAGGGAAGCAGAGAGGGTTGTTCAGGGTGGAAACATAGCTTCCACATTTAGATTAACAAAAGAGGCTCAGGACTTTAGTTTAAATCTACTCAAAGATCTGCTCCTTCAGTGGGGAGAAGAACTGCACAATTATATGAATAACAATGACGATATTGGGTATGAGTGTTATAGAATGAACAGCAGCCTGGCATCTTTGCAGAAAATTCTGCTTACATTGGAATGTCCAGAGCAAAGAGCGAATGGTTTAGAAATGGCAAAGTATATCACCAGCCTACAGGAGAAGACTGCAGTGGCTCAGATAAAATACACAAGAAATGACACTGACACAATGGCAGTTGTTACCATGAACATAATTAAGGATAAGATGGACCGCTATGAGGAAGTTTGCCATTTCTTTGCTTCAGAAGTTGCCTGGGCATTTACTAATTACTGGTTCGATTGCCTTAACAAAAACAAAGCACTTTTTCAGGATGCAGACCTGATTTTCAAATTACTGGAAACTGTGGATAAAGCTACATCAGAGCAATGCAATCAAAATATCAAGCAAATTGAAAAGTGTGCCAGTATTGTATTAGATCTGTACTGCAAACTCCCTTTAGAAAAGATGAATAATGTGCTTATGAGAGTGTTATGTAGATGGGGAAAGAAAGGGCTGTCTCATTGCATGATGGCATTTACAGATCACTTCCAGGAAGAGCTCAACATGACATTCAATCAGATCTCCCAGAATGTAACGAATGACAACCCTGTTACTAGAGTGGCCAGACTGGCTCTGCTGCACCCTGAACAAGTGGTCAGCAGAGCATGTCACATTGCTGTGACCAACCTTGGTGCTCATGTCTTTTTATCAAAGATACTGATCTCACTTCCTGCCTTAGGTTTTAGCAATTCTAATAACTCAGAGGTATCAGACTCGTTAATATGCAGGTGCTTGATGGAAACCTGCTGGGGCAAACTTTCCTCAGATAAGGAAGAAAGTCAGTTTTTATACTTGCTGGCTTATTTAATGGGATTTTCTGAAAATGCAGAGAATAACACAGCATCTGTACTGCAGCCAGCAGAAGTGGTAAGGACATTTGTTCTTCCATACCTACTTGATGAATGCGTTCATTTGAAGTCCTGTTTGTATATTCTTCAAAAGGCACTTGGTGTAGCGAATCCACTAGATACCTCCTGCAAGCACTGGGTTTTGTCCTGCTCCCCATTTCCACTTCTTATGTCTCTATGTAAACTCCTCAATAGCTATAGTAGGTGCTGGCAGCATTCTGATCAACCATATTGCCTTACATTGGAATCCAAAGAGTTAATAATTGAAATTCTCACTCAGATATTTATTGTGATCTTGCCAGAGGCTGATAATAGTACAGAAACTTGGAACAAGTCACTCTTCTGGCTGCACAGAAAAATGGAGCACTTAGATTGGGTTGTACAGTTGAGAATGAAACCAATATTTGGAAAGCACTTTAAGTATGAAGTCCCAGCTTCTTTGTTTGAGGTTTGCAAACTTTCAGAGGATGAGTGGACGACACTTCACCTTCCAGAGTATGGGCTGGGAACAGGTCTTTTGGCTTGGATGGAATGCTGTTGTATATCAGGAGACATGAAAGACCAAATGCTGTCACTTTTGTGTGTCAACATAGAGGACCCAGAGGAGGTCAATCTCTTTAGCAAGGGGTTCTTGGTGGCCATGGTTCAAGTCCTTCCTTGGTGCAGTTCAACTGAATGCAAGCTTCTCAGTCAAGTTGTGAGGACTCTCCTGGAAAAACAACTTCTCCATGTGCCATATACTCTGGAATATGTGCAGTACATGCCTCTCCTTAACCTCCGGCCATTTGCCTCCCATCTCCAGTACTCTGTCCTCCTCTTACGAGTTTTCCAGCTCCTCTGCAGCTCTAGCTGTTCTAATTGGCTTACGCTTGATGGCCAAAAGCATATTGCAAGGCTTTACAGTGGCTGCATCTCGGATATATTGGATGGAATTAAACAGCAGTTGTTGGACTGTAGTCTTCAGTTACAGAAGGAACAGAAAGAAGCAGAGTATGTTCAGGAGGTTTTGTTCATTTATAGTCAAGTGTTTTGCCATGTCCTCCATATTATAGCAATGATGCTGGAAAACACATGTGAACCTCTTTTCTTTTTGTCCCTTGAAATCCTCTCCTTGTATGAGACCCTACGAGCTAGTGACACTGATAAAAATAGCTTGCTGAGAAAAGAAAATGATAGACACTTCTTAAAGTCCATCACTGAGAGCGTGAGTAATGAGCACCACCGGGTCACTCTGATGCAGAAAATTAACAAACTTTAAACAGCAAGTCATTGGAAAGGACCTGTAAGTGCACAAGCTAAGAAATATTACACATTACAATTAAGTCAGCCATAGTAAATTATCAAAGTCATAACGTTTGCTTTACCTCATTTAGCATATGCATATTACACAGTGAAACTCATGACATGGTTTAAACTCCTAATGCAAGAAAATCACGCAATTAAACCAATGTCTGATATAAATACTACATTAGAACATCCAGCTGATATGTCAGTTACACAAGAGCAATACAATTTGTTATAATTACAGAAATGTTTCACCTTAAGGATACCGGTACAAGGAAATCTGCCATTGCTGACTTCCCCTATGAAATTACATTTTCTGCCTCTCATTATGATCCAAAGGCTTCAGTACATTTTGAGTCAATGACATGGAAAAGGTATGCCGGTTAAAAGCTCTGGGTTTATGCACTGCATAATTTTTCTAAGTAAGTGTTTTCAAATATTGAAGCCAGAGATAGCCAGTCAACTAGAATTAAAGAAGTTAAGCAATGGTTAAACCCATATTTCTATCTTTGGATGATTTCTTAGTTTTAACAGTTTACATAATTTTGATTGTTAGTCTCCCAAGTAAGTGTCCAGTAGCTAATTATTTAAATCACAAGGTTTTTTTTATTTTTATTATGAATTACTTTGTTATGAATACCATGCACTGTTTAACTTCTACTTGTTTGACTAAATAAAATATTGATACCTGTGAATGTCATTACTCATATTTACAACATTTTACTTGCAATATTGAATTTAAAGTGGACCTTTTGTCTTCTTTCACTAAATATCACATCAACAGGCAGCTCTGCCTGCTGATATGAAATCATGTTGCATTTATCCCTCTGACTGATGTTGTAGGTTGAATCCCTAATGTCTGTTTAGTTATTGTGCTTACTAGCCCTGTGTTGCCAACTTTTTGCAGGAACTCCCCGCTAATTCCCCGTTTTATATACGCTGCCATTTTGGGTGGTTTCCATCAAGTGTGGCGTATTGCCATTATTTGGGCAAATCTTAGGGTAATTACACCACATTATGTGGTAACTGCTGTCTGCAAGCTAAGGCTGGCCATACATTATACAATTTTCTTGCACAATTTTCCTTTTAGATTTACCAAAATCATATAATATGAGGTCAGATCTAAATACTTTTAATTTTTATGCAATCAGGCAGGCCCTTGCATTACGAAGTTGAAGGTAAATATAAAGGAAATTGAATAAGAAAATTGTATAATATACTGCCAGCTTAATATTGGGAGTCTGTGCGTGCGTATGTGAGCCATGGCACCTGGCTGGTTTTTATGACAACTTTGTTATGATTTTAATGTGGTGTTGGGTGGAGGTTTATCTTCCAGTGTTTTGTACTTTTTTAAAATGAATAAACTGTTTTCATTTTGCAAAGCTAAACTGTCTGGTCCCCTCATGGTAACTGCTTAGGAGAGAGATTCTCTTGTTTCCACCAGTGTGTATTGAGTGATAGAGCAATGGGGTCCACACTCTTGGTTATTTGGTGAGACAATGAGCTTTGCTCTTTCCTATGAGATGTGTCCCTTTTTTTTTTGTTCCTTTAAGTTTTATTGTGGTCTTTAAAATCACTAACTTATTACAAGAAATGTTTTTTTTTTCTGCTTTAGGAAACAATAGTGGTTTGGGACATGTTTTAAGTATACATGGTATGGAGGGGGAGATACAGTGTGTGTGTGTGTAATAGAAAAAAAAAAAAAAATATATATATATATATATATATATATATATAAATCTAGATAGAGATATTATATTTTAACAGAAAAAACTTTTCACAACTTCAACAGGTTTGGTCCAGAGAATGGCAAACAATAACCCTAGGGCAAAGGAAACTCCTTCTTAACTTCCTGGCACCTAACCACAAGGGGCAGGTAGATCAATTCCCCGAGTTCCCAATTTGTTTTGTTCATAACTTTAGTTGTTATTGCAAGAAAATCTAGTAATTTTTTTAAATTTGAATTTCCACTGTTGCTGTGGTCATTAATACCTTATGTGGTAACGATATTTGTAGAGACCCTTTCTCTAAACGGATGAGAACATTTTTTTAATATGTGTTTATATACATATACTCTTCCATACTCAACTCATGCCCACCTGTCCTTGGGATAAAACATCAATGTCCAAGTTCTTTATACTAGAATGGATTTATTTTTACAGCTGAACTCCAGCCTTACCTTTTTTTCTTCCTTATTTGTGGCAAGCCCTCTCCTCTGAAAGAGATTACTCTTTTTTTTTTTTCTGCACATTTTAATATTAGCAATAAAAGTTTTAGAAGCTGTAGCAGCTAGCATGAGTCTGCCTATTTTCTGGCTTGAACAGCTTCATGTCACCAGCTCTCTCCTACACATCTGTCCTGTTGTTTAACACCTCTTACTTCAGTTAGTTTTGAGTTGATTGTAGCCACATTAGTATACTTGCAACATTTTGTTGCAAATAAAGTATCAGGGACAGTACAGAATTGTTTTTGTTGCAATTAGTTTTCTAATCTGTCAGTCTTCTTTACGGGTGTCACGCTTAGATGTGTTCTGTAGAATTTGGGTGTCATTTGTGGGCATTATATTGTTGGTGTTAGGCACCTGAATCGGTTCAGGTGGTCTGCTGTATATTGAATAAAAACAGATTTGGTTTTTATAAGTCTGGAGTGAGGCTATGTTGCTTTAATGTGATTAAAAGAAAAGTACAGCCAAAGTACTTTTGGCTGCACTTCTGTGGATTACAGGAGTGCAATTCGTTCTGCACTCCTGTGACCCATTTTCAGCTGAAGTCTGCTGATGTCACTCAGCTGGTCCAGGCTGGGGAAAGACTGGCTTCAAAGTCGGGATCCACTCCAACATCTGGAGCGGCACCTGGCTCAGCCTCTCAGTGATCCACTGAGAGCCTGAGTTAGGCGCTCTCTCCCTCTCCACAGCCCAGCGCTCTAGTGAGCATAGGGGAATGATAAGCAGACAGCGGTGACTGACAGTCCCTGTTCTCTGCTCAAAGTGGCTGTGAGAACTCAGCAATCAGCGGTCATGCGAGTTTTCACACTTGGAGCCAGCGGGGGACAGATGCAGCAGGTACCTAGGTATGATTTTTAAACAGCTACCTGCTGTATATGCACTGCACCACCTGCCTGGAGTTTGCATGTTCTCCCTGTGCCTGCGTGGGTTTCCTCCGGGTATTCTGATTTCCTCCCACACTCCAAAGACATGCTGGTAGGTGAATTGGCTCCTGTCTAAATTGGCCCTAGTATGTGTATGTATAAGTGTAAGTTAGGGACCTTAGATTGTATACCCTTTGAGGGTTAGGGACTGATGTGAATGTACAATATATATATATATGTAAAGCGCTGCATAAATTGACAGCGCTATATAAGTACCTGAAATAATATAAATAAATAGTGCATTGATAGCCCATTCATAATGAAGCAATCCAGGCACAGCAAGGCTAAGTAGCAGGGTCACAGACCGCAATATGGCACAGCAGAGCATAAATCCAGAGGCACAGGGACAGCATTTCAGCACAGCAAGAACATTCAGCAGTGTTTTGAACAGTAATATTGCATAGCAAAGAATACAACACAAGGGTACAAGGACTCGCACTGCAAAAGTCTGGCAGCCCTAGAAAGCCTGCTGGGTTGGCTTGGTGAAAGGGGATCTTGGCAGGATGGTCAGCAGAGTGAGAGACTTGCAGAGTCCTTCCAGAGGGGAAGATTAGCTTGGTCCTGGGAAAGCAGGGTTCGGGAGCGACAGAGTTGCAGCTTCAGGTCCAACAGACAAAAAGGAGGCATGGGATGCAGAGAACTGAACCCAACTTTGGGTCTCCGCAGGCAGCAAACAGCACTGGGGACATAAACAAAGGGAGCTTTTTTTTCTTCTAACCCTTGCAAAGAGCAGGATACTGCTGCTATAGTGTCAGTCTCTGCTACAGCCACATCAGGAACTCCAGTGGACCCAGCCACAGCAAAGGAGGAAGAGTTTGCTGTGCCTGCTGGAAATCCACACAGAGGTCCCAGCAGCAGCTTTTGCTGCCTGGTACCCTGCATGCAGATAGTGTGGGATGGCAGCAGCTGTGTAAGGCACTGGGAAAGGATTGGTGGCTCTGCGTGCCATGTGTTCCAGTACGTAAGAGATGTGGGATAAGAGACATGCAGGGACCTTCTGTATACCCCTTAAGTATAACCTAATAAATACACCTATAGTTACATAAAAATGACACTCAGAAATAGGAAAGACCATTTTATTAGGTATTGCACATATAGATGGAGCTTCACAATGTATACACAAACGTAATGTCCACCATGACTTTACCTGGGTATAGTAATTATAAAATAGCAATAAATCTACAAGTACAATCAATGTGTGTATATCTTAAGCATCACACTGTACATATACGCACATCATTAAGAAATGTATCCATCCATAATATCAAACACACTATAAGTATTTCTTAGTTACTAGCCTTATAACAGGCTTCATAATCTCACAGTGACTGACTGAATTAAATGGTGCTAAAGGCATAACAATTCCGGAGGAATTCACCACTCCCACGCCTTTCTCCCTGGGTGTACACTGTTGTCATATATAAAGGATGATGATTAGTTTCACCTGCCTCTACAAAAAGGAAGAAATTCAGTAACACATCAGAAAGTCCTTGTTTATAACAGATTATTGTGATAGCTTATTCTGCACCAATCTGGCTCTTCCCTCTAATGCATTTCATAAAGGTCCATTAACATCAGTGCACTGCATGCTAGTTATTATGATGGCACCCCAATTTACCCTTTACAGCACTGCTGAAAATGCTGCATGCACGCTGTTTTTATCACTCTTACCTTAGTTAAAGAGTCGTGCAATGGCACAAGAAGAGGAGGACACTTTACACACTCAGTTATTTAGTTATAGTTATCTGATTACATAAAAATTACATTGTCTAACATAGTCTTATCAAACTTTTTTTTTTTTTCATGGAGGAAACCTTGAAAAAAATTATTGTAAAATCTACAGATCATGGTATATTAACACAATCCTAAAATGTGAATATAATAATATATAAACAATTATTAGAATTTAACTTTTTAACTCCTTCACGCCTAAGGGTAAAACAAATCTTAATGTCTAAGCACAATTTTTCAACTTTGACATGTGTTAGTAAAACCGTACATATCATCACAACTACTTTGTGCATCCAGGTAGATTATACCTTCTTCTTTTTTTAGGACAAATTGGGCTTTCATTTGGTAGTAAATGGTAATTGATATCTCCTGATTTTTTATTATCAAATGAAAACTGTCCCAAAATAGTAAAAAACATGCATTTCTTTTGAATTTTTTGTTGCTATTCTGTCTCTCAGTGTTACAATACCCCTACCATTCGATTTTTAGACTGATCATTTCTTTGTGAGTGGGCAAACATTCAAAATCAGCAGGGGATCAAATACTTATTTCCTTCACTGTATGTGTATGTTAGTTGTGTCTGGGCTATATTACGAGTACAAACAACAATCGTGCGCATTTTGCTGTTTTTTTTATCCTGCCACTGACAGTGATACTAATTTAAAAAAAAAAAAAAATCCCACATTACTGACCCCGACCTTTGACTCTGACCTTTGACCCAAACACTAACCCTTGCACTGACCTAGATTAAACCTTGATCTAGATCTTGATTTTTTTTATTATATTTATTTTTACACACTTTGTTTTTCTCTCTGAAAGGACAGAGATACAATGTATCTCCTCCATTCAGCCACAGAAAACATGGGGGTGGGCGTCACAGTAACTGATCACTGTGATAGCCAATCAGAGGCTATCACAGCTATCGGGAACCCAGGAATCAGGAGTTCCGCGTTCCGATCATTAGAACGGGACCCTGGCCTTTCAGTGAGACCCTGGTCTCTGTGCTGGGAGTGACCTGTGAGGTGTACTCCAAGCACAAAGACAGGAACGCAAATATGCGGCCCCACGGAAAAAAAGCCCAGTCCAGTGGGGCTGCTTATTTGCGTACGGTCGGCGTGAAGGGGTTAATGAGAATTTTTTTTTTTTTTTTTTTTTTTACCCACAAAAAAAAATATTTAATTCACTGTGAAAAACCTCTCCATTTGTGTTTACTGGCAAAATATACAATTACACTGGTGTGCACTGCACTCTGTTGCACAACCAAATACGTCAGCGCTATAGGAATACAGGTGTTAAATCATATGTTAGACACTATTTTTCCTATTGTGATGATGACACTAATAATGGGTTACCATAGTTATAACACAAACCGTTATGGGGATAATGCTGGTCACTTGCTGTACAGTAACTCCCCCTTAGAGAAATTCCCAAAATGTTTGGGAGGTACAATTAGGGGTGTACAGAGCAATGATCTGCACCACAGCTAGAAACCCCACACTTCCAGGTCAAGCACACCAGTCATGTCCATGCTGACATCTGATAGCAAGAACTTGTCTCCAGTTATGTTAACTCTGAATCACTGATCGCTTTCCGCCAGGGGGACACTGCAAACAGTGCAGGTATAGGCTGCCTCTCCTGTGCTCTGACAGATCCAGCTCCTTGGGAAGTCGCTGTTCCTGTGTCCAAGCACAGTCAGCCCTGTGGACTTACATCCATGCTTTAGAATGAGTTGACCCAGAACCTTGTCTTCACCAGCCCTGACACTCCTTTCCTCACCTATTTTTTTCCATGCAAAAATTTACAAGAAAACAAATTGGTGTTTAAGGGGCTGACTCTAGTATCGATTTATTGAATCAAATAACACTGTATAGTGATATTCATATCTATATGCCACTGTGCATAAAAATGTACTTAAATTGTCCTCCTATGTTCTCCTACTAAGACCTTATGGTTGCTCCTATGAGCATCAGAGGGCAGAGCCAGGATGGGAGTCATGGGAAATAGTTATAAACAAGGATTTTTTACTGAATTTGAACGTCTTTCTTTTCTGGTGCTTTAACATGACTGACAAAATCACCTAGATAAGCAGAGCTGTGGGGACTGGAAAGAAAAAGCGACTACTATGGATTCACACATGTGCGGTGGGAATTGAAGCTCCGTTTTCACAGCTAATTGACAAAGTAGTTGTTTGGCAGTTCAGGTCAGGTTTACATCAGGATCTGCAGAGAAATCCAGCCTGAAATTGTGTTCACAAACTTATGATGTGCGATTCAGAAGCAATTCCCATAGAAATCAATAAGCCTGTAATCCACATCTGAACCGAACCGCACTGCTCAGAAATCGGACATGACTTAATCCGCACTGAATCTGCACTGCCAGTGTGCTGGACGTATGTGAACAGGAACCATAGGAAGCAATGTTATTTCACATGTTCAAACCACATCCAATCCACATATATGTGAACTGACTCTAAGCCTGGGTTTACATATGTGCGGTGCGGTATATCGCATGTGATTCGCACAGGAACCGCACCGTATTCCTGTGCAAATCACATGCGATTTGTGTGCGGTGCGATTGCAGCCATACATTTTGTATGGCTCTATTCACACCGCACCCGCACCAAAAACATGCAGGACCCTTTTTTGGTCCGCCTGAATTGGATTGCATAGGTATTCACACCTATGCGATCTGATTCTGCACATTGCACCGCGTTTTGCGGACTGCTTTCGGGGTGTTGTTAACTTAACATACACACCCACAGCGGTTCGCGTGAATGGAGTTGCGTTTCTGATGCGGTGCGGAATTCGCACTGAAAATGCTGCAAATTCGCATCAGTGTGAACCAGGGTTAAAAGAAGAAAAATATACACCTATAAGTTTTGGTGGTCTAGGAAAAAAGATTTTAATATTTCCTGTCATAAATCTTATCTTATGAAATGATCAGATGATCATGACATAAATATACTCATAATGTGACTACATCTACCAGCTTTTTTGAAGAATGTTTGCTCATCTTTTGATTGGAGAGCAATTACCATTGGGAATCTTGTTGTCACATGCTACAATATTTTATTGAAAAAAATGTAGCATGAACAAAACTTCTGCAAGTGTGGCTTGTAAAGTTAAGGGGAAAATAACTTCTTTAGAACATGCAGAGACAAAAGCTTTCCAAGGAAATACACATGCATCATACTACCATTAACATGTGTAAGCACTGATCTAACTTCCTTCCTTTACTACTTAGGAAAAGGAGCAATTTAAAAAGAAAGTGTATATTTATATATAAGTGACAACTGCAATTGTTAATTTTTTTTACCAAGCTAAGATTAGATCTTGATTCAAATAGTGTCTACAGATCGAGGTGCTTGAATAAATTATGCATGCAATTAACATTAATGAAAATGAAGATGTTGTATAGAAAAATAATGTATACCCCTACATTTACCACCACTTCTTCAATCAATCAAGTTAGAATCTGGTATTCAAGATTATGTGCCAGGGGAGTATGCATGTGGACCTGTCTTATTCAAACCTCAAATATCTCGGTATTTGTAGTTTCATTATATCAAAATACAAAAAGCTACGGCCCTCAGAAAAAAAGTTGTAAATGCTTAAGTTTGCCAAGAGATTTAATAAGAACACCAAATTATTTGAAATCAATCATTCCCCTATAAGGAAAACATCTAGTGACGTAGATTTCAAATGACTGGTGGTCTGGCAGGACTGGCTGGCCCAGCAAATTCAACCCAAAAAAAAAAGTCAATTTTATGCAATTAAATTTTGTACCCCAAAATTTAATTGCAAGATGTTCAGATAACCCTTGCAACTGCTGGGGTTAAAGTGCATGCACCTACAATCAGAAAGAAACTGCACCAATTCAACCTGCATAAGAGGTGTTAAAAAAAAAAGCATTTGCTGTCTAAAAACAGCATTAAAGATACACTATGTTGCCAAAAGTATTGGGCACCCCTCCAAATTATTGAAGTCAGGTGTTCTAATCACCTCCATGGTCACAGGTGTATAAAATAAAGCACCTAGGTATGCAGACTGCTTCTACAAACATTTGTGAAAGAATGGGTCACACTCATGAAGGTCAGTGAATTCAAGTGTCGTACCATGATAGGCTGCCACCTGTGCAATAAGTCCATCTGTGAAATTTCCTTGCTACTAAATATTCCACAGTCAACTATTAGTGGTATTATAACAAAGTGGAAGCAACTGGCAACAAGAGCAACTCAGCCGCCAAGTGGTAGGCCACATAAAATAACAAAGAGGGGTCATCGCATACAGTGCGCAGAAGGTGGATGGCCCCTTCCTGTTCCTACATGACTGCGCATCAGTGCACAAAGCAAAGTCCATAAAGACATGGATGAGCGAGTTTGGGGTGGAGGAACTTGACGGGCCTGCACAAAGTCCTGACCTCAACCCGATAGAACACATTTGGGATGAATTAGAGCAGAGACTGTGAGCCAGGCCTTCTCAGTTCCAGTGAAGAGAACTCTTAAGGCATCAGCATAGGAAGACATTTTGGACAATTTCATGCTCCCAACCTTGTGGGAACAGTTTGGGGATGGCTCCTTCCTGTTCCAACATGACTGCGCACCAGTGCACAAAGCAAGGTCCATAAAGACATGGATGAGTGAGTTTGGGGTGGAGGAACTTGACTGGCCTGCACAGATTCCTGACCTCAACCTGATAAAACACCTTTGGGATGAATTAGAGCAGAGACTGCGAGCCAGACCTTCTCATCCAACATCAGTGCCTGACCTCACAAATGTTCTTCTGGAAGAATGGTCAAACATTCCCATAGACACACTCCTAAACCTTGTGAACAGCCTTTCCAGAAGAGTTGAAGCTGTTATAGCTGCAAAGGGTGGGCCAACTCAATATTGAACCCTACGGACTAAGATTCGGTTGCCATTAAAGTTCATGTACGTGTAAAGGCAGGCGGCACAATACTTTTGGCAATATAGTGTAGATTACAGTTTGCCATTGAACACAGACAAATTCTGGACTCCTGGAACAATTTACTAAAGACTGATCAATCAAGATAGAGCTCTTTTGTCACAGTTGTTAGCCACAAACTGAGTACTTCAGAAGTATCCCATAACAACTGTAAAGCATGGTGGTGGAAATGTTATGGTTTGGGGTTGTATTGCTGCATAAGGCCCTGATCAAAGATATACATCAATCAGCCATAACATTATAACCACTGAATGATAAAGTGAATAAAATTGATTATCTTGTTGTTATGGCATCTTAAAGTGGATAGGATATATTAGGCAGCAAATAAACGTGGTCCCTGAAGTGGATGTTTTAAAACAGAAAAAATGGGCAAGCATAACTATTTGAATGACTTTGACAAGGGCCAGACTAATGTCCAGAGAACTGGGTCAGAGCATCTCCAAAACTGCAGCTCTTGTGGGATGTTCCTGGTCTGAAATGGTCAGGACCCACCAAAAGTGGTCCAAGGAAGGAAAACCGGCAAAACGATGACAGGGTCATAGACGTCCAAGGCTCATTAATGCAAAGACTGGCCCGTGTAGTCCGATCCAATAGAAGAGCTACTGTAGCTCAAATTGCTGAAAATGGATGCTGGTTCAGATAGAAAGGTGTCAGAACACACAATGCATTACAGTTTGTTGTGTATGGGGACGGGTGCAGACGGGTCAAGGTGCTCATGCAGACCCCTGTCCACAGCCAAAAGCGACTACAATTGGCACGTGAGCATCAAAACTAGACCACAGGAGCAAATTAAGTAGGTGGCCTGGTCTGATGAATTCAAGAATGGTTTTAGAAACACAAGTTTGAGGTGTTGACTTGGCCTCCAAATTCTCCAGATCTGAATCCAATTGACCATCTGTGGGATATCTGGAAAAACAAGTCTGATCCATGGAGGCCCCACTTCGCAACTTACGGGACTTAAAGGATCTGCTACTCATGACATGGTGCCAGATACCACAGCATACCTTCACATGTTTAGTGGAGTCCATGCCTTGATGGGTTACGGTGGGTGGCCATAATGTTACTTGATGAAAATGTAAAGCCACCTGTTCAGGTTGAAGCTGAACCAGGATAAGTCTTTCAACAGCACAGTGGCTAAATGGTTAGCACTTCCGCCTGGCAGTACTAGGGTTGTTGGTTTGATTCCCAGCCACGGTACCACCTGCCTGGAGTTTGTATGTTCTCCCTGTGCCTGCGTGGGTTTCCTCCGGGTACTCCGGTTTCCTCCCACACTCCAAAGACATGCTGGTAGGTTAATTGGCTCCTGTCTAAATTGGCCCTAGTATGTGTATGTATGAGTGTAAGTTAGGGACCTTAGATTGTACACCCCTTGGGGGTTAGGGACTGATGTGAATGTACAATATATATGTAAAGCGCTGCATAAATTGACGGTGCTATATAAGTACCTGAAATAAATAAACATGAAAATGATCCACATCACACCAAGGAATGGCTCAAAACACGGAAATAGAAGATTTATATAGGGGAATTTTTGTTGGGGAGTTTTTAAGCAGGCGGTTCATACAAGAAAACCCCCGAACATCTTGCAACTGAAGGAATTCTGCATGAAGAAGTGATAAAAAACTTTTACTGAGTCAATCTCAAAGACTGGCAGGTAGTTATACAAAATGTCTACAAGAATTTCTATAAAGGACACAATACTAATTTTGTACTTTCTTTTCTACAGTATACCATTACATGTATTAGTTGAATAAATTATTAAAATTCCGCTTTTGATCTTATTGAAATGTATCTGTAGGCACTATTTGAATCTAGATCTAATGTTTACCTGTTCAATCATGTTGAAAGAGTCAACAATTTCCATGGGGTGTACTTTCTTTATTTTCTGTGAAGTATCTTTCTTTTTTTCTTTCCCATACTCATTCTGCTAGACTAACAGTGCAATAAGCACCTGTAAAAACACAGGCAGTTGGTTTAGCAATTAAAGCAGAACTCCATGAATTTTTTTTTCCCCATGCAGTGGGGAAACTGCTCTTAACTGCTCTTTACCCAATCCTTTGATCCTCTGGAAAACAGCGCTCCCCAACATCCAGCGGTGGACTGTTCTTGCCATCCTCACATCCAGAGCCAGTTTATGGGCGTGATGACGTCAGGAACAATCTATGCAGAAGACCGCTAGCATGCAGGGCGGCAGGGACCGGTCTTGCGCTCTGAGGATTGGTGGATTAGGTAAGTATATCTCCACTCTCCTCAATCCTATACAAAAAAGAGCAGTTAACCCACACCGTACATGTACAGACCCACTGCATGGAATTCTTCTTTAACTATTCAGAAACAGGAGAATAATAAGTGACAGAAGAAGAGGTGGAATCCTCCTATATACCGCCCACTGTGAAAATATAGTATTAGAGGTATATACAAATACATTCTTCAGTATTACAATCTTCTTGCTACAATCAATGATTTGTTAAAAGTGTCCCAGCCTTAGTACTTTCAGGAAGTTAAGAGTTATATATACTAAGTGTGAAATGTTATGCTAATTGAACATAACTTACTTTGCTAATATTGGTTCAAATAATGCAGTTTTCTAATAAAATACGTCTTTAATTTAAAAATCAGTTACTTTATGCAATTGTAATAACAAAAGCTACAACTCAAACACTTAGCAAATTAGCTATAAAAAAATATAGTGCAATACTGATGTAGAAATTCCCATCGTGACTTACAAAACTTCCTTTTTTTTTTTTTTTTAAATCTGACAAAATAGTGTTTGCATTAGCTTATAAGTTTGTAACAAATTTCCATGATTGTTTCTACACATATCAAGTAGTCTGCATGGCCTCACAGAGCTAGTATGACACAGTTGGTTGTAGTACCGTCAGTCCCCATCCCTTACAAGGGACCTCACTTGCCAAATGAAAAGACTGCTATGAAACATGACTTTGTCATACAGGCGAGTGTTATCTGTCTTTACTGGAGCTAGAACTGGTATATAGAGTCTTAAGGCTTTTCTGCAAATGAGCCAAAACCAGTATATCTGTGGAGCCATAATGGTGGCATTTACAATGTTGCAGTGCAAGGGAATGTTGAAAGGTACTTTATATAGTGGAATCCCATACTGCTTTCCGTAGGCGTGGTACATAAAAGGAAAGAGCAGGATGCGGCAGATGAAGAACGTTATGAGCACAAATGCACCATTTACTTTATGCAAGAAGGAGTTCTGCAAATTCATCTGTTAAAAGAAAAGGAAAATAAATTAATGCTTTTCAATACATTCAATTATATACCAGTTCTAAGGTCAAATATAAACCACATAAAGTGGATCTGTTGCTAGAAGAAAATTAAAAAAACAATACCTGTAAAGGAAAGGGTTAAAGGAGAAGTAGGGCCAAAGCACTTTTGGTTTTAAAGAAGAAATCCGGGAAAAAATTTTATTTTTCCATGCAGTGGGCCTGTGCCCGCACTGCATGGATTAAATGCTTGTTTTTGTCTAGGGGCTCTGAAAGTAAAGACACACTTACCTAATCTGCCAATCCCCTGAGCGCAAGACCGATCCCTGATGTTCCTGCCCCCCTGTACGCTAGTGGTCTTGTGAATGGGCTGTTCCTGACATTATCACACCCATAGAATGGTTCTGGACATGAGGATGCCAGGAACAGTCCACCACAGGACATGGGGGAGCATGGTTTTCTGAAGAATCAGGGGACAGGGTAAGTACAGTTTATTCTTGAGCCCCTAGACAAAACAAGCACTTAACCCAGAGTGTGGGCAAGCCCCACTACATGGGAGTTCTGCTTTAATTCCCCTTTGGGTCAAAGTAGTGCACTTCGTTCTGCACTCCTATGACCCCATGGCTAAAGCCTGCTGTCACTGAATCAGTCCATGCTGCTGAGAGCCAGAGTCAACAGCTCCTGCAACCCTCAACAGCCTAAAGCTCCAGTGAACACTGGAGAGGCAGAGCAGGGAGCCGGTGAATGACAGTCACCCCTCTCTGCTCAGTGAAGGCCGAGAATTGGGTGATCAGCGGTCTTTGATTGCTCAGTTCTCAGTCTTAGAGGCACCAGGGCAGAGATGCAACATTAGTTTTGAAGCAAGAATGGCAGATTTCAGGTTTTGCATTCTGTAACAAAACCTGAGAATCATCAGCATAACCCAAGCATTCCTCTAAGCTTTTTCCTTCTGAGGAACCCTTGAAATAATTTTGCTGGCTTGGGGAACCCCTGCTAAAACCAATTCAATAGTGCTCAGCGGGAAAAAAATGCCCCCTTTCACTGATGGTCAGTGCAAACAATGCTTTACAGTGGTGGCCAGAATGCCACAGACAGCTAAAAAGATCACTGGTGACAAGCAGCTGGCTATGCTAAATGGTATCAGCCCTGGAACTATGCGGGCACCATCAGATAGAAGGTTAGACAGCTGAAGGAATGTCTAGCAGTCTCTCGAAGAATCCTGGTGGAGAATGGCTGGGATAACCTGTTTTTTATTATCATACCTCCCAGTTTAAATTTTTTCTGAGTACCTGACCTGGAAAAACATGCAGATTAGAAAGCCAAAATGAGGTCAAATTTCCACAAACTTTTTCAGACAGTAGCAGCCCCATATTCTCTTGCATACAGGTTTCCTTTAAATCTGAATTTGTAGATAAAAAAACATTTAATGCGGTTTTGTATTTATTAAACAGTGATTAAATGCATTATATTGTAAGTGGCTGAATCTGTATTAATATAAAACTCCCTGCTCTAATATATGGCAAGTGTGAGCAAGGAACATGCTGACAATAGGAGAGCAGTGGCCTCATCAGTGTACTTCATCTTCAAAGTCCAGTCAGACTGGGGGCAGGATGGTGACCTAGCTGCATTGATTAACTACAGTAGAAGACAATAAATACACCAGTTTGGCTGTGATGTATACTGTACATCTCAGGACTGGCTGGACAAAATTACAAATCCTTTGGCAGATACAAGAAATGCCATGTATTCTTTTCAAACGTGTATTTAGCTATATGACTGGAGATCAGTTCTAAGCCAGTAAAACAATATCCCAACCAGGGGCAGACTGACCATTTGGAAACTCGGGCACCGCCTGAGGGCCCGGGGTCAGTAGGGGGCCCCATGAGATGCCCCTGGTACCTTTTTCATAGGCTTTTTTGAGTTTGGGCAAGGACACAGGGGCCCCATGATCCTCTATTGCCCGGGGGCCCCATGAGTTGTCAGTCCACCCCTGATCCCAACATAATATATCCCAAGATCATTACACATTTCAATTACACCAACGACAGTGTCGGGGTTTGTACAAATGCAGATGTTGTACTGTGTATATATATTATTAAGCTGTACATTCATTCTTAAGGATGTTTGGAAAAAGGTAATATTGAAGATAGAACAAAGGTGGAAAAATAAATCTTACATCAATAAATAGAGTATTTGGCAGAATTACTGGGATACTTTGGTGAAATACTGTACCATTAAGTTAGGAAAAAATGCAGAAAGAAGTGAAAGGAAAGGAAAAAGATAATATAAAAAAAGAACAAAAAGAAGTAATAGGGAGAAAGAAAGAAAAATGAGATAAGGAAAGCAAAAGAAAGAGGGAGGGAAGGGGAAAGGAAATGAGTTAGGCAGCCCATAGATAATTCAATTTTCGTTGAAGCAATATTGAACAAACCTCCGGACAATACAAAATGTATTACCTTTATCTCTAATGCCACTAAACAATTTATAGCTGGTTATTGGAAATGTTGATTCACTCGATTTCCCCATCAACACTGCCTGTGGGAATGCCTCCCATAGCACTACTGTGTTCTGATGGTGGAGAGGGGGAGGTGCACGGGGAGCCTTCTCAGCCAGCAAAACACAGTAATTACTACTAGCGGCTGGCAGTTATTGCAAGTAAAAAAAATCCAACATTCTGGTTGTACCCAAGTTGACTGACTTGGGTACAATCAGCCTGCCCATATACAGATTTAATCTCAGCCGGTTCCAGCTGAACCGGCTGAATTTCGATCCATATATAGCCAGCTTTAAGAAGGACCAAGTGAGGAGAGGGTGGGAAGGAGGAGAAAATAAGTAAGTTCCCCTCCCCCACAGGTCACCTGATATCCACAGAGCTCAAAGATGTAATGTCCATTGACTGAGTTGGGAAAAGAGGTACACAGGGAACCAAATTGTGAGGAATTTCTCATGGGTGTAGGAAGAGGTGGCCAACGCATTTTTCAATAATTATAGTCCCATTCCATTGAGTAATAACCTCAGAGAAAATGAAGGCTGGACATTTCCAAAGGGCAGCTATAATTTGATTAATGGCATTAGAGATAAAGGTAATACATTTTTTATTCAAGTATAAGATGTCCGGAGGAGGTTTGTTCAATACTGCTTCAACTGGACCCTTGCATAGGTTAAAGCCTAGAATGTTCTATATCAAGGTATAAACTTGAATCCACAATCTTCTAGCAGTTGGACATGAACACCAAATGGCAACATTGTGCAATCCTGTTTGGAAGCACAATGTAGAGCACTGGGGTACATATTTGGTAAGATACCAGAGGAAGAGGACTTTATATGAATTCTCCAAAGCAAGAATATTAAAGTGTTACTAAACCCAGGACCTGAATTTACTATATCTGGTCTCCCACAGTACACACAACATGGAAATGCAATTATTTTAGTAATTATAAACTGCTAAATACCTTTTCTCAGCAGCGGTTAGAGCAGTCTTGTGACTTCAGCTAAGCACTGGTTAAAGCTTGTAGGAGGAGTTTTCTTTCTGCTCTAGGAGGAAGCAAAACCCCTGAACTCTGTCTGGACAGTGCTAATTGACCCTGTGCTGATCACATGCACTCTCCCAAATAAAAAAAAAAACCTCTCTAGCAATATACACTAAACTTCAGTCTGTCTTATCAAGAGATAAGATGTGGACATTTGAACAAGAGGAGAGGCAGAGAAAACAGGATCAAATGGCCATTTTACACAATGCAGAGGATTAACCTCTTAGGTTCCACAGTGAGTATAACAAGCATACTTTACTGCATATACAGACTGATTTTACTGTTGTGGGTTTAGTAACACGTTAAGTGAGCTTAAGCTGTTGAGGTCCATATTTCCATTCAAACCTCCTCTGGTAGATATTTCCCCTTTCCTCTTCCCATCAAAGTATATAATGTGCTTTTTTTTTGGGTATGATTTAGAAGCTTGAATGGAGGCATGTATTAAGGAGATAAGGCCTTTCGAATATTATTATCACAAGGGGAGTTGTGGTTCGATGTGTTAGAGAGCAGTGTTATTTTAACGTCGAATTTCAATTTAATTTTAGTATTTTTGCTAAAATGCTATTTTCGTTTTAGTCGTACTTTAGTTATATGAATTATTTTAGGCTCCCTTCACACCAATGCATTTTTTAGTGCTTTTTGTAAAAACGCACTGCAGTCCATTTAACATGGTTTCCTATGGAACTTGTCCCATGTGCTTTTTTGACCTGCTGTGTATTTGGAAAGGGTCAGGGACTTTTTTAAAAGCAAAAAGCAATACCTTTGCTACAACAGAGTTCAATGGACAAGCCTCTGAAATGCATGACAGCGCGTTTTTGCCAAGTTTTGCATTTTTATTCTGCCCAGCAACAAAAAAAAATTCCACTTTTCCAAATAAAAAAAAACAGAACAAAACGCAGTAAAAACGCATTAAAATTGCGTCAAAAGCAAACTGTGAAAGGCAATACAAAACGGACAAAAAGCAAACTGCATAGGTGTGAATGGAGCCTTAGTTTCAGTCGTATTTTAGTCAACTAAAATCATTTTAGTCAACTAAAATCTAATGGGTTTAGTTAAATTGTACTGCATTGTTTCTCTAGAACTTCCAAAATCATTATATACTCCAGGAGTAAAAATCGAACAACATGTTATTATTTATCGTATTAAGGTTTGAGCAAACTACATAGACACAGATTTAGCCATTATATAATATCTTTATAACTAAAACATCCCTCCCTTACATTTACTTTCTGTTTTCGTTCATTTCTGTTCTGTTTTCGTTCATTGACGAAAATTTAATTAGTTTTTTGTCAATTGACAAAAATCTGGTTTAATTTTCGTTTTGTCATTAGAAAAATGCCACTTACAAAAATTATGAGGAAAAGGTTTTTGTTGATGAAATAACACTGTTTAACCCTTTGAGGACCAAGGGACATATTTGTCCCATGTTTTTAATTGCGTGTATCATCTGATTAAGAATTTAAAACTCTTTTTTTTTTTTTTTGAGTCACAATATTAGTTCTTATCAACAAACAACAAATGGATCTAGCTTTTTGCCAATTATTTCATGAAATGGCTTAGTTTGCAGCAACTGAAGTGTACGAACTTTAAAAACAAAAAAATTGATTCTTTTGGCATTCCAAAATTTTACGTTCCTCAAAGGGTTAACCACTTGCCTACCACCGGGCACTTATACCCCCTTCCTTACCAGGCCAATTTTCAGCTTTCAGCGCTGTCGCAATTTGAATGACAATTGCACGGTCATGCAAAGCTGTACCCATATGAAATTTGTGTAATTTTTTTCACACAAATAGTGTTTTCTTTTGGTGGTATTTACTCGTCGCTGGGTGTTTTTATTTTTTGCGCTATAAACAAAAAAAAGCAAAAAATCGAAAAAAAAAAAAAAAAAGATTTTCTTTGTTTCTATTATAAAATTTTGCAAACCGGTAATTTTTCTCCTTCACTGATGTGCATTGATGAGGATGCACTGATAGGCAGCACTGATGATGCTGCACTGATATGCAGCTGCTGGGCACTGTTGGGTGGCACAGGTGGGTGGCACTGCTACGCACTGATGGGCACAGGAGGGTGGCACTGCTTGGCACTTTTGGGTGGCACTGCTGGGTACAGGTGGGTGGCACTGCCGGGCAGTGATCATCAGGACACTGATCATCAGTGCCCTGATGATCAGTGCCGATCTGTTTTCTGACAATTGCCGGTTATCAGCAGTACTTTCCTCAAGCTGTGACAGTTTGAGGAAAGTGCAGCCAGCAACCAGCAACTGCATTGGACACAGCTGATCATGTGGTAAAAGGCCGCTGTGATTGGCCTTTTACCACATCACGTGATCAGCTGTGTCCGTAGGACACAGAGATCACGGAGATCGCTGGGTGCGCACCGCTGGGGCGCACGGGAAGGCGCGTTCTGGGAGGACGTCATATGACTCCCTCCCAGAACTGGACAACCACGCTGTAGCTGTCATTCGGCTATAGCACAGTTGCCAGGTGGTTAAAGAGGAAGCAAAATGTTGTAGTTGCATATAGTGATATCATTCAGTATTGGGGGCTGCATGGGTCTCTTGAAAATATTTAAAGGGTTTATGACTATCTCTTTCATTATCTTAGTAGTACTGACCTCTCATTTAAGTGATTAAAAGAGAGAATTTGACCACAGAAGTAAATAAAGCAGAACTAATCCTTAAGTGTAAAAACTACAAGCAGGTAGCTCTACAGGTGCATCTCAATAAATTAGAATAACATCAAAAAGTTAATTTATTTCAGCAATTCAATTGAAAAAGTGAAACTCATATATTATATAGAGTCATTACACACAGAGTGATATATTTCAAGCAATTCTCTCTTTTAATTTTGATGATTATGGCTTAGAGTTAGTGAAAACCCAAAATTCAGTATCTCAAAAAGTTAGAATATTGTGAAAAAGTTCAATACTGTAGATTCATGTGTCACACTCTAATCAGCTAATTAACTCAAAACACCTGTAAAGGTTTCCTGAACCTTTTAATGGTCTATCAGTCTTTTTCAGTAAGTTACGCAATCATGGGGAAGACTGTCACTGACACCCTCCACAAGGAGGGTAAGTCACAAAAGGTCATTGCTAAAGAAGCTGGCTGTTCACAGAGTACTGTTTCCAAGCATATTAGTGGAAAGTTGAGTGAAAGTAAAAAGTGTGGTAGAAAAAGATGCACAAGCAACAGGGATAACTGCAGTCTTTGGAGGATTGTGAAGCAAAGGCCATTCACAAGGAGTGGACTACGACTACGGAGGATACGAGGGGAGATTCACAAGGAGTGGACTACGGCTGGTGTCAGTGCTTCAAGAGCCACCACACACAGATGTATGCAGGACATGGGCTACAACTGTCGTATTCCTTGTGTCAAGCCACTCCTGAACCAGAGGCAACGTCAGAAGCGTCTTACCTGGACTAAGGAGAAAAAGGACTGGACTGTTGCTCAGTGGTCCAAAGTCCTCTTTTCGAATGAAAGTAAAATCAAGGTCCCAGAGGCTGTAGGAAGAGCGGAGAGGCACAGAATCCAAGTTGCATGAGGTCCAGAGTGAAGTTTCCAGAGTCAGTGATGATTTGGGGAGCCATGTCATCTGCTGGTATTGGTCCACTGTGTTTTATCAAGTCCAAAGTCAGTGCAGCCCTCTACAAGGAAATTCTAGAGCACTTTATGTTTCCCTCTGCTGACCAACTTTATGGAGATGCTGATTTCACTTTCCAGTGGGACTTGGCACCTGTCCACACTGCCGAAATTACCTATACCTGGTTTAATGATCATGGTATCACTGTGCTTGACTGGCCAACAAACTTGCCTGACCAAAACCCCATAGAGAATCTATGGGGTATTGTCAAGAGGAAGATGAAAGACACCGGACCCAAAAATGCAGACGAGCTGAAGACTGCTATAAAAGCAACCTGGGCTTCCATAACACCTCAGCAGTGCCACAGGCTGATCTCCTCCATGCCATGCCGCATTGATGCAGTAATTCATGCAAAAGGAGCCCCGATCAAGTACTGAGTACCATAATCATCAACATTTAAAGAAAGAAATGCTTGAAATATATCACTCTGTGTAATGAATCTATATAATATACTAGTTTCTCTTTTTGAATTGAATTACTGAAATAAATTAACTTTTTGATGGTTTTCTAATGTATTGAGATGCACCTGTATACACTATTTTGCCAAAAGTATTGGGCCGCCTGCCTTTACACACACATGAACTTTAATAGCATCCCAGTCTTAGTCCGTAGGGTTCCATGTTGAGTTGGCCCACCTTTGCAGCTATAACAGCTTCAACTCTTCTGGGGAGGCTGTCCACAAGGTTTAGGAGTGTGTCTATGGGAATGTTTGACCATTCTTCTAGAAGCGCATTTGAGAGGTCATGCACTGATATCGGACAAGAAGGCCTGGCTCACAGTCTCCGCTTTAAATTATTCAAAGGTGTTCTATCGGGTTGAGGTCAGGACTCTGTGCAGGCCAGTCAAGTTCCTCCACCCCAAACTCGCTCATCCATGTCTTTATGCACCTTGCTTTGTGCATTGGTGTGCAGTCATGTTGGAAAAGGAAGGGTCCATCCCAAAACTGTTCCCACAAAGTTAGGAGCATGAAATTGTCCAAAATGTCTTGGTATGCTGACGCCTTATTAGTTCCCTTCACTAGAACTAAGAAGCCAAGCCCAACCCCTGAAAAACAACCCCACACCATAATCCCCCCTCCACCAAACTTTACACTTAGCACAATGCAATCAGGCAAGTACCGTTCTCCTGGCAACCACCAAACCCAGACATGTCCATCAGATTGTCAGACAGAGACAGAAAAGCATGATTCGTCACTCCAGAGAACACGTCCACTGCTCTAGAGTCCAGTGGCGGTGTACTTTACACCACTGAATCCAACACTTTGCATTGCACTTGGTGATGTAAATCTTGGATGCAGCTGTTCAGCCAAGGAAACACATTCCACAAAGTTTGGAGGTCTCTAGCTACTAACTCTGCACACAGTTGGTGACTTTTGTGCACTGTGCACTTCAGCATGCGCTGACCCTGGTCATTTTACGTGGTCTACCAATTCATGGCTGAATTGCTGTTCCCAGTTGCTTCCGCTTTGTTATAATACCACTAACAGTTGACCGTGGAATATTTAGTAGCAAGGAAATGTCACGGATGGACTTATTTCACAGGTGGCAGCCTATCATGGTACCACGCTTGAATGCACTGAGCTCCAGAGAGCGACCCATTCTTTCACAAATGTTTGTAGAAGCAGTCTGCATGCCTAGGTGCTTGATTTTATACACCCGTGACCATGGAGGTGATTGGAACACCTGAATCCTATGATTTGGTGGGGTGTCCCAATACTTTTGGCAATATATAGTGTATTTGTGAAGAGACATGCTATGTCTCTTCTACAAGACACACTTACCTGCCTGCTCACAGTCTTCTACTGAATGTATGGGCTGTGCCAGAATGACTAATTCTCACAGGCATGTGTGGGACGACATCATCCCCCACCGGCTGACTGAAAACCTGACATTCAGAGGTAGCCTGGGAAGAAGATAACAGCGGCCAGCGAGGGATCTAACATCACATCACTGGAAAATGGAAGTGAGTATTATTATTTAGAGTTCAGTTCCTTTTCAAATGAGGGAATAGTGTTTTGTTTCTAGTAACAATTTACTTGGAATTGGTATGTTTTCGAATAAAGCATTATAAGGATCTGAGAATACCAACAATAACTAGAAAATTCCATTCTGCATTTATATACTGAGAAGAATTGTAAATGTTTATGTCAGCTAAACTCTACATATTTAAAAATGATAACAGCCATAAATATGTAACAAAAAAGAAGAATCATACCTGTATTAAAACTTTTCCAAGTGAAACAAATGGGGTACTCATTTCTGCCACAAAGAGGCAGCCTACAAAGAAATCTCCAATGTCTCTTCTTAAAAACTGTAAAATATAATAAGTAATTAGATTCATAGTGAATTAGGTTGACTTTTAACGATAATGGCTGACTGATAATTGCATCCAAATCCAACATTTTAGCAATGGAGGGAGGTGTATATCATCTGTAAGTAACTGTCACAACTTTCAAACAAGAGAAAGAAAGGAAAGGGGGAATAAGATACTTTATATACATTATAATAGAATCCTTCCAAACAAACTTAATAGACCTTTGACGGTACCACAATGAGTAATCTCATAATAAAAAATATCCAAAATTATATTAAAGCAATTCAAATTAAACATTAACCACTTCCCATCCGGCCCATGTACATAAACAGCTGGACGGGAGCAGTGCAGGAGCGGGTTGCTGTTCATAAACGGCGCCCGCATTTTCAGGTTGTGCGCGCTCCCTGGGCACGCGTGGCACCGCAATCTGGTGCCGCTGTGTCTGGAAGTCCTGATCATGTGATCACTGATTGGCCAATCAGTGATCACATGAAGAGTAGTAAGCAAGATGTCACTTCTGACATTGCTTACTACATGTGAAATCTGTGAATGATCACAGAGATCACATGTTACAAGGGCTATTCAGAACAGCCTTGTACCATGTGACAAGCTGTGACCAATGACAGCTCTCACAGTATTTCTCAATGGCTACAAGAATGAAGCCAGAGAGAAGGAGAAATGATTGCTACTACAGCCTTTATGGGTGTAAAAGCAATCAGTGTTTAAAAAAAAAAAAAATCTTCATCACCCCCCCCCCCCCCCCACAAGTAGTACAGTTGTCACAAACCATAAATAATAATATAAAAAAAATAAAATAAAAATGTAAAAAAAAAATTTTTTAAATGTTGGGAGTTATTATTACTGCCAGTGACACCAATGGGGGGAGGCATTATTATTGCGTCTTCTTACACCAATGTTGGAAGTTATTATTACTGCCACTGACACCAATGCTGGGGGTTATTATTGTATTCACTGACACCAATGGGAGGGGGGGGTGTTATTATTGTGTCCACTTACACCAATGTTGGAAGTTATTATTACTGACACCAATACTGGGGGTTATTATTGTATTCACTGTCACCAATGGGCGGAGGGCTTATTATTGTGTCCACTAATACCAATGTTGGGAGTTACTATTAATGCCACTGACACCAATGCTGGGGGTTATTATTACTACCACTGATACCAATGCTGGGGATATTATTGGGTCCACTGGCACCAATGTTGCAGGTTATTATTGTACTCACTGACACCGATAGGGGGGCATCGCTGCATCAACTGACATCAATGCTGGGGGTATTATTGGGTCCACTGGCACCAATGTTGAGGGTTATTATTGTACACACTGACATCAATAGGAGGGCATCATTGCATCAACTGACACCAATGCTAGGGGTTATTATTGCACTCACTAGGAGAGAGGAGGGGTTTTGCTGTCCTATATTGTTTTTTGTTGCCCTGATCCAGAAGGGTAAGTAAGTGTTTTCACCCTAGGACAGGTGTGTTAATGGCATAATCACCAGGTGAAAAGCAAAGAAAAATTAATCTTGAAAAAAAAAGAAAACTACTGCCGCCACCACATCTAAGCACTGGCAAGCTATAATATATTACATTTCTGTTTTGGGTGTAGATAACCTTTATGTGTCAGCTAAAAAAAATAAAATTGACTCCAAACCATTACAGTTTCCCTTTTTCAGTGCCACCTCCTAACTACCTGCCAATGTAAATCTTTTATGAGAGGTGTGGTGCTCAGTTGTAATGTTCAACCATTATCTGCATTGTCCTTGAAGAAAAGATATAACAAAACTGAAAATGCAAACATGGCAGGATACTCCAAATTTCAGAAGCCCTGTTCCTGCCCTACGCCACAGCTTGCATAAATACGGTCTAAACAGGATGGGATTTGGTTGCAGATATGTAACATACAGCAAAGACAGGGTCACTTAGGTCAACCCATTAAACACTGTACAATCATTTCAGCTTTCCTTGGCAAACTGGCCACTATAGCAATGTATTTACCTTAACAAGGCACTGAATTGTAACTAGATTGTCAGATCATGTGATCACAATATGACTTCAGTGACTTCTCAGGAAAAGTAATGGCCTTAAGATGACCATACAAAGTTAGACTGATCTGTCAGATTAAACCAGAACTTCACTCTCTAAATCACCATTGACTATTTTTTAATTTTATGCTGTTAGCATTAGTAAATAGATAGAAGAGTATATCATATTTTCTTGTTTTAAACTTTTTTTTTTTTTTTACATTTCTTTAGTTACTTCCTAGTTTCCATGCCTAGGCAAATGATGCCAAACATACCAGGAGTCTTCAGGATGGGAGGAGGGGCTTTCTCAGCCTAGCACACCCTCCTGCCCCCATGCCTAGGGCCTGATGGATTCCAGGAAGTAAATGCTACCTGAATCATCGGACCTTACTCAAGATACCTACAGCCAAAAATGCTAGGGGTTCAAAGTGATTTCTCAGCAAAATAAAGCATGGAGACATGGGTGGATTGTCATGCTTAGATGCAGTGTAGTTCCACTTTAAAGTGTTACTAAACCCACAACAGTAAAATCAGTCTATATATGCAGTGAAGCATGCTTCTTATAATGTGGAACTTAAGGGGTTAATCCTCTGTATTGTGTAAAAATGGGTATTTGATACTGTCTTCCCTGATCCTCCCCTTCTTCCAAGTTCCCCATTTCATCTCCTGATAAAACACAGCACATGCTCAGTACATGCTCAGTTTGGAGTGTACTGCTAGAGAGTTTTTTTTATTTTTCTTGGGCGAGTGCATGTGATCAGCACAGGGCCAATCAGCACTGTCCAGACAAAGGGTCAGGGGTTATGCAATCTCATAGGGCAGTGAGAGGAGAATGAAAAATACTTAAAGTGTTACTAAACCCACAACAGTAAAATCAGTCTGTACATGCAGTAAAGCATGCTTGTTATACTCACTGTGGAACCTAAGGGGTTAATCCTCTGCATTGTGTAAACATGCTGTGGGCTCCCTGTGGAAGCTGGAAAACACTGTAGTAGGCACCACTACTAAAGTGATTGCTGCTAGATTCCCAGTTCCCTGCCGAGCGGCTGACTTGCTTCTTACAGAACATAGAAGGTCCCCCTCTTTGCAGTGGCACCAATCAGAGAGCACTTTACATTTTCTCAATGAATGCAAAGTGTTCTCTGATTGGATGAAATGGACATTACCGCCCCGTCTCTCCTCCTCATCCAATCAGACCACCTTCCCCATCTCCACCTCCACTACTTCTGCATTGAGAAATTGCAGTGTTCTCTGAATGGCGCCTACACTGAACAAGAAACCTCCTGTGTTCACTGTACAGCAGGGCAGCTGCTCAGCACGAGACCAGGAAGTTAGTGGCAATCACTGTAGAAGCAGCGTCTACTTCAGTAACTTCCAACATACCCTAGGTTTACACCTAAGCATTTTCCGCAGCATTTTGCAGAAACGCACTACAGTCCATTTAACATGATTTCCTATGGGACACGTTCACATCTCCGCATTTTCACCCAATGCGTTTTTTGGAAAGGGTCAGGGACTTTTGTGAATGCAAAAATTTGTGTTTTTGGTTCTATATACTTCAATGGAAGCGCTGCAGAAAAGCATGTATTGTGTTTTTGCTACGTTTTGCATTTTAATCGGCCTAACAAGACCCCCCCCCCCCCGTAAAATGCATTAAAACGCGGCAAAAACGCAAAAAGCACTGCAGAAATGGATCAAACACAAACTGCATAGCTGTGAACCTAGCCTTAAACAGGGATCCCACAGGTATGACATACACTGTACATAATTACATTGGTTCAAGCTGGACCAAAGTATCTACCTGAAAATTACCATATGTAAACTTCAGCTTTAAAATACATCTAAGCAGAAATTCCTACTACATACATAGTTGTTTGTAAATTTTGCTGATTTGACACATCAGATCAGAAACATACGTCTGTTTATGGCCAGAATAAGCTGAAAATATAAAGACGAATATAAAAGAAGAAAAGATTTTACCAGTCCTATAGGAACAAGGATGGCCAAGATGGCTGTGTGATGAACCAGCATAAGGAAATCTTTCCGCAGTAAGCTGTTTATTGCAGCAGAAAAGTGATCTTTCCCATTTGATGTGCTTTTGTCTTGACATTTGTACCAGTGACGAAGATACATTGCATAGGTATCATATACCATGTAGGGGATTATAAACCAATTATAAGATGTAGCCAGCCAATGCCTAATGAGAAATGTGTAAAATTAGTATATCCATACTCCACCATCAACAGTCACAATAAAAGAAAGCTTTATACAAAATGCTTTATTATAGGAAGAAGATAGTTAAGGAATTCTTTGCACACTCCTGTTAAAGTGAACCTGTCATGGCACTCTAAAGCTGGCCATAGATGGGTTTTTTTTTCCATTCAGCCAGCAGGCTGAATGAAATAAAAAAAAAAAAAGATGAATGGATTCCTCCATCCACACAAGCAAGGCGGATGAAGAAATCTCTCTGCAGTGGCATTGGGGATGATTTACTAAAGGCACATAGACTGTGAACTCTGCAAGTGCAGCTGCACTCACTTTCCCCAGAGCTTAGTGAATGCGGTGAAGCTCTGCTGATTTCCATCATCCAATCATACAAGCAAAAATGTATTTATTTATTTTTATTATAGGTACTTATATAGAGCTGTCAATTTACGCAGCGCTTTACATATATATTGTACATTCACATCATCAGTCCCTAACAGGGGCGGACTGACCATTTGGAAACTCGGGCACTGCCCGAGGTCAGTAGGGGGCCCCATGAGATGCCCCTGGTACCTTTTTCATAGACTTTTTTGAGTTTGGGCAAGGACACAGGGGCCCCATGATCCCCTATTGCCTAGGGGCCCCATGAGTTTTCAGTCCGCCCCTGGTCCCTAACCCTCAAAGGGCATACAATCTAAGGTCCCGAACTTACATTCCTACATACTAGGGCCAACTTAGACAGGATCCAATCAACTTACCAGCATGTCTTTGAAGTGTGGGAGGAAACTCTAGTACCCGGAGGAAACCCACGTAGGCACAGGGAGAACATGCAAACTCAAAGCAGGTGGTGCCGTGGTTGGGATTCGAACCAACTATCCTAGTACTGCCATGCAGAAGTGCTAACCATTTAGCCACTGTGCTGCCCATATAATGCAGGTTTTTTCCTTGCACCTGATTGGCTATTCTTTACAAAGTCAAGCTTCACCACATTCACTAAGCCTTGGGGAAAATGAGTGAAACTGCACTTACAAAGTGTACAATCCATTTGGCTTTAGTAACTCAATACCATTGCATTCTGGCACCAGGAACTCTCTGCTGTCAGAAAACAATGACTAGCAGCTGCAGCTGCTGATCGACAAAAGTTATCCGACGTTCCTGTTTGACAGAAGTTGATCTAACATTCGACTTAAGTTAAACGGGATGCCAACACATGGACTGAAATTCAGCCTGTCCCTACTGAACTGGCTGAATTTCGATCCATCTTAGATTGTAAGCTCCAAGGAGCAGGGCCCTCCTAACCCTCTTGTATTGAACTGTATTGTTGCTGTATTGTCTCCCTTTAGATTGTAAAGTGCTGAGCAAACTGTTGGCACTATATAAATCCTGTATAATAATAATAATAACTTATTGCCAGCTTAATGTTTCTAAAAATACACAGAAAGCATAAATGCTACAAAGTATACTACCATTCTGTGTGCAGTCTCAATGGGGTTTATTTACTAAAACTGGAAAGTGCAAAATCTGGTGAGTTCTGCACAGAAACCAATCAGCTTTCAGGTTTTATTGCCAAAGCTTAATTGAACAAGCGACCTTAGAAGCTGATTGGCTGCCATACACAGCTGCACCAGATTCCGTGTGCACCAGTTTTAGAAAATCTACCAGTCTCAATGTGTCTTTTTTTTTAATTCTTCAGAACTAGTGATCAAAAAAAAAATTGGTGGCAGGGGGTACTTATATAAGATGACTGCAAAATGAGCAAACACTATAGACAAGAGGGAAAGCAAATAGAATTCTAGAGGGATCACCAGTAGGGGAAAGGAGGTGCTGATTCCTCTATATGGAGCTGTGTCCCTCTTCACCACCACCACCTATATGATTGCTTTCCAATCAGCATGTTGATGTTACTTTAAGTATATGTATGTATTTAAGTATGTTTTCCTTGATATTAGGCTGACAAAAAAAATATCTGCCTTTGCTTAGTCCCCAACATCCTAGTTGGGCATAACAGCAAGGCATCTGTGACATACTGGGGAAGATATAACATCAATGAGGACAAAGCCTATGTAGCCTGGAGAAATAAAAAAGGATTATTCCAGTTTCCTCCCACACGCCAAAGACATGCTGTTAGGTCCATTCGTTTCTGCCTAAATTGGCCTTAGTACACTGCTCAAAAAAATTAAAGGAACACTGAAAACACACAGATCTCAAAGGGGAAAAATATCATGCTGGATATCTATACTGATATGGACTGGGTAATGTGTTAGGAATGTAAGGATGCTCCATCGTTTGATGGAAATGACAATTATCAACCTACAGAGGACTGAATTCAAAGACACCCCGAAAATCAAAGTGAAAAAATGATGCAGCAGGCTAGTCCATTTGCTGAAGTTTCATTGCAGCAACTCAAAATGGTCCTCAGTAGTTTGTATGGCCCCCACGTGCTTGTATGCATGCCTGACAATGTCAGGGCATGCTTCTAATGAGATGACGGATGGTGTCCTGGGGTATTTCCCTCCAGATCTGGACCAGGGCATCACTGTGCTCTTGGACAGAGTGAGGTGCAACCTGGCGGTATCAGATGAACCGAAACATGATATCCCAGAGGTGTTCTTTTTAGATTTAGGTCAGGCAAGCATGGGGGCCATTCAATGGTATCAATTCTTTCATCCTCCAGGAACTGTCTGCATAGTCTCGCCACATGAGGCCGGACATTGTCATACACCAGGTGGAACCCAGGACCCACTACACCAGTGTAGGGTCTGACAATGGTTCCAAGGATTTCATCCCGATACCTAATGGTAGTCTGGGTGCCATTGTCTAGCCTGTAGAGGTCTGTGCGTCCCTCCATGGACATGCCTCCTCAGACCATCACTGACCCACCACCAAAACGGTCGTGCTGAACAATATTACAGGACCTTCTATGGCCATGTCCAGCTCTCCTAGAGTAACTCCCTATCTCCTGGAATCTCCTCCATGCTCTTGAGACTGTGCTGGGAGACACAGCAAATCTTCTGGCAATGGTACATATTGATGTGCCATCCTGGAAGAGTTGGACTGCCTGTGCAACCTCTCTGTAGGGTCCAGGTATCGCCTCATGCTACCTGTAGTGACACTGACCCTAGCCAAATGCAAAACTAGTGAAAAACAGTCAAAAAGATGAGTAGGGAAAAAAATGTCAGTGACCTCCACCTGTAAAACCATTCCTGTTTTGGGGGTCGTCTCTCATTGTTGCCCATCTAGTGCACCTGTTCTTAATTTCATTAACACCAAAGCAGCTGAAACTGATTAGTAACCCCCTCTGCTAATTAACTGACCAGATCAATATCTCAGGAGTTTAAATGACTTGATGCTATACTCTGATTAAAAAGAGTAAAAGAATTTTTGTGAGTAGTGTATGTGTATATATGTATGTGAATCATGGACCTTGGATTGGAAGCTCCTTGAGGGCAAGGAATGATGTGATTTCCAATATACATAAAAATGTCTGCATAAATTGTCAGCACTATATAAACCTGTAATAAACAAATAAATAACTGTGCCTTTAAATACTGGCACCAGGCACCAGAGGCATTATGGTCTCCACCCTTATCAGCCTCTTTATATATATACAAATCCCTTGTGATGTCACTACTTTGCTGTCATTTACTCTTGTGTATACTGAAAGTATAATTAACGCGCAAACAACATCTGAAAATTAATTTTAGAATCACCATTTTGACGTTTGACATAACATATATGACAGTAATTACATACCTGTTAAAATGATTCGTAAGCAAGATTAAGCTGATGAAACTTTGTCAATACATTAAGAATCATTTCAGTGGAATGTAATCATGAATTGCATATCATTTTTGCTGACCTCATTTCTGGAATGAATACCCCCATCAAGACATTAAGTGGGACCAACAAAACAACAACAACATGTAACACAAGAATGTATGATGCTGCCTCATCTTCTTATCTATTTGTCATCCGCTAGCCTGTTCATTTCATTAGAATTCAGGCTGTGTATCACGATTTGATGTTACTCACCTGGTGCTACAAAGAATCATGGCGCTACACATCCGAGTTTTCATGTGAAACAAAAGAATGTTAGGCTAAGTGCACATATCTGCCCTCTCTTATCCTGCCTTTGTTATAATTTGGGGCAATGTTGGTAAAGAAATAGAGTGGAGACATAACAAAAGGCAGGATGCACAGAGAATATGACCCCATGTCTGGATAGCTAAGAGGGATCAAAGGAAAAACCTAACAATGTAGAAGTAGATAGGATGGAGGAAGCTCATCTGCACTATTAACAAATACAAAACCTAGAAAATAGAAATACGCAGAAAAATGACAAAAAAAGGGACATAGAAGGAAACAAAGACAACTAATGCAGACCATAGACGGTTTGAAAATCGGCCGATTTTTCCAACGATAAATGAAAAATCGGTCATTCGTTCGGCCGACGTTACCACTGAGTAAAAAAAATCGGCTGACTAAATCATAAAGTTCACCCCATAACTTCTGTCCCTTGCAGGTCGCCGCTCATGCGCCAATTTTTTATCATTAAAACAATCGGCCGATTTTGCCATCATTGCTGGGAAAATCGTCCGATCGTCCAAATCAGCCGCAAATTTTCAAACATGACCGAAAATCTCAAAGTGCAAAAAACCTGAAAAACAGCCGACCAATTAACCCACTAACAGTGCGAAAATCGCCCGATTTTTTTTTCAGACGATTTTCTAACCGTCTATGGCCGGCATAAGGATGGATATGACTTGAGAGGATTAGTACTCCTTAAGATAATTGAGATCATCTCTGAACAGCCAAATACTCAGCAGATGTGTAAAGTGAACATTACTGGATTCTTCAGCCTAGTACACACTATAAGAAAATCAGACGGCTGACCATCCGATTTTCCATGAAAGTGCATGCACAGATTCAGAATACTTTATTAATCCCAAAGGGAAATTATTAAGATACAGTTACATTCATCAAAGACAGCAC